CTTGTACGATGCTTCGCCTAATTTGTACAGAGAGGAAAGGAGTAAGGAAATTGTGATCAGATAATCCTTAGTACAGTCAAATGCATACTGAATAAGTATGTAACTAGGCATTTCTTTGTTTGTGTAACTCTGAACAAAATTATCTCATTCCTAGGCACATTCAAACTTGTGTATTGACCATGCTTTGCTTGTTAGATAAGAGGTGACACTCCTGTTATACAAGAAGAAAAGTTATCTGACCTTGCCAATCAGATAATCAAAGTTCCATATATACTTGCTGCAGTTACAGAAAGTACTTAATGTCAGTGGTAGCATTGAAGTTGATTCTCTGCTGCTCTGTGTCATCTGCATAGATTTGCTACCTTTTAAGTGAACTATGATGCAAAGCTGTTCAATACAACTGATCTTCTGCATTTGTTAGGCCTCATTCTATAGGATAGCACATGGAAAATGACATGCTTGTATATACACCTGACATAATAAGTTTGTCTGACTATGTATTTATGTGAGATTATTTATTTATTTCCTCAAGGATACATTCTTGAAAAGGCATTGTTCCTGACTGTTGTCTTATGTTCCCTTCCTCAATTAATGTCACCACCTCTTGTAGTATCAGTAGCAGGCTTGATTATTGTACATTATTATACAGATTCTACAGTATCAGTTTTGTACTATATATCTTATTGTTCATGGAAAATGCTGCTGAGACAGGTACTCTTTGGCGAAACAGACCACTGGAGAAGCTTGTGCTCTGCAATGCGATGGTGAATTACACACCGGCACATTGCCGGGAAGATGCTGATGCAGGCGAACCACCATATAAAAATCAATGAAATACTTTTTTAACACAAATTAGAGAAATTCTAAGTAAGTGGCACTCTGATGCAAACTTAAATCATATTGAAAAACCGTCGAGTGCTATTTCTAACCTGAATTATTTACTTGGCATATGATTATCTTCTTTACCGCCAACTAATGTGTTCAAATGTTCATCATATTATTGGTGGAAGTAATTTTTAGTCGGTTGTTTGGACCGTTCAAGTTCAGCATCGAAACTTATGGTTGTTTGTTTTAGTTGGTTCTTTCCAAGCTTCCACTTCATATTCTCAACTTCATCTCAGCCACTTTACACTTTCAAGCTTAAACAGAGTAGGTCACCCATATGTCAGGTCCACACATGTATAAATTGGCATACAAAACTTTGTATGCTAAGAATCTGTGCATACTGGAGCATACATCTCGGTACCTCCAAAGAATATATATCAGATGTCTAAGTTTTCATTTATTTTATGCTTTGTTTGAGGATTGATGAGAAGTTTGGGCTGCAGTTCAAGCTGGATCGTGACTTACATGGCTAGCCTGACCACAAATTATTCTAAGCTTGGTAGAAAACTCACTTATATGTTAGCGGTTAGAACTTCAGTCTAATTTCTACATGATTCTCAATGTGCAGAGTTTACTTCTGTTTACACCATTTTCTGTTAGGAATAATGTTGATTTGAATTCCTTTTCACTTTTCAGCCAACCTTGAAGCCTACCACATAACAAGAAGCACAGTAGTTCCATTACATAGATAGTGTTTATTAGGTTTGGGAAGTTATGACCCTTTGTCGCTGTTCATTATTTGGGGAACTGTACCATACCATATTCTGAGTATTTATTGTTGGGCTTAATGTCTAAACGTGCCCACTTGATTTCAATGATAGGTGGGCCTGAAGACTTGGTCCTTCCATTTTTTTTCATTCATGGAGATTGGTGCATTTTAGTTGATATACTACCATGTTTCTTTAATTGCTACATTTTCCTTCTGAATCTAGGTCCAAGTAGGTACTGCGGCGGGATTTTCCCTTTTTGTTTTGTGCTCTTATTACTCTTTATTAATAGCGTATTAACAAACATTAGTTTTTATGCTTTAGATGGCTTGCAGAGATGACAAAATATATTGTGTGGGCATTACTTTATACTCACTGGTTACCTCCCATCTGGAACTTAGTGTTAGCATCAACAAGACATGTCAGACATCACATTGATGGTGTGTGTCCATGTTAAACATCACTGGCAGCACCCCCAATCCTTGTGATTTCAAACTCCTTTTTCATTAGTTTTAGTTCTATGCACTCATGGAACCGGATTGATCTAAATCTACCATTTTGCAGGGTTAGTTTTCATTGTTTCACATTTTGACATTCTACTATGCAAAAACTCTCAAAATAATAACTTATTATTCTCATTCAGGACGGGGACCAGCTAAGGAAGTACTTCTCGGTGCACCTGCTCAGTTACATTGACAATACTAAGATAATAGTGTCTTTTTTGCATATGACGCTACATTAAAATGTTTTCTTAATTTGTAATATTTTTAAGTGCAACCAACAAAATATATTTTTATGTATATTAAGTCTCACATATATTTATAATATTAGTCAAGACGTGCATTTGCACGTGCATACTTACTAGTATAGAATAAATTGCTTACTCTGACAAATTATTGTCTAGCATTTGCCTCAGCGCATACAAGTTTCTATCTCTGAAGGCACCTACTCGCGCCGAGACATCTCGTCCGACTATGGAAGATAGTTTATATGGACTAGCATGTTTTGTACTACTGTATAGTGCTTTACTAGCGGGCGAAGGCACGGCGACACGCCGCGCCCGTGCAAGTGCTCTTAACTTGTACAATTTCTACTTAAAAACTATAAAAACAACAGAGTAGACATGCCATATGAGGGGAATAGTACATCTGGTTGAAGATTACGGGGGTACATTGCATTGGCTAGATGATACAAATTTGATAAGAAAATCCAGTGAACAGGCTAAGCTATCATAAGCATATGTAAAATAGAAGATTGACAGACCAAAACAGCGAGATCATTTAGTAACACATGGTTTGATTCTCCAGTTGTGATAGTACATTCCTTTATTTTCATTTACTCCGAAATCTTCAAATAGCCACTCCCAAGTAGGAAGCCGACCACGGAGAAGCTACTCTCATGCTTATAAGTGTTGGAGGTACGCTATGCAACGGCGACAAAAAGTCAGCTTTAGGTCCCGTCACGTGGAATTTTTCTGGAGCTCTAATGGGTAAACATTTTTGTTTCACACAAATGACACAATAATCAGCGAAGAAAAGCTTGCAACATGATCCTTATATAATATAATGCCATACAAAAAATGATGTGTTCTAATTATCGTTTAAACGTTCTTTATGGTCTAAATATTTGAAGAAAAAAATATTAAGCCATGGTTATGTTTATGACTCATTGAACCAAAACATCAAATTTACCTTAACCAGAAGTCCAAAATAAATAGAGTTAGCGAACACACGCACACCTCTTGTGGTGCGTACATCGCGAGAGAAACATACACAACGCTAAAAGCATTAATCATGATTATTGTACTCACTCCGTCCGGAATTACTTGTCGCGGAAATGGATAAAAGTGGACATATCTAAAACTAAAATATATCTAGATACATCCATTGCTTTGACAAGTATTTCTGAATGAAGGGAGTAGTATCTAATGATTTTAGACTTAGATGTGAGGTGTGAAATAGCAATTCCGAAACCCTAAACCCCACCGGCCCACCCCATCTCCCACCTCCTTGCCCTCCCTTGTCTGTTCTTCTCGGAGCTGGCGGCGCACACACCCCACCTCTCCCGATCCCGGACCCCGATCCCCATCCTCGGTACAGAAAACCCTAGCCATTCACCCCTCACATTTCTCCCCTTCTCAGATCTCGCCGTGCCGGCTTCATCCCCGAGCCTCCCCTCCGCATTCCCCACCGCGCGCCGCTCCCAGCCGACACCTCTTCCTTCACCGGTCCGGCCCCGACCGCGCTCGCGTTGCTCCTCACCGCGGGAGACGCCGACCGCCTCATCCGCCTGCTCGTCGCCGCTTCCCACCTGTCTACCTCGTCCTCATCCCCTCGACCGCGCAGTCCCCGCTGATGGCCTCGCTAATCAGCACTGTGTAAACAAAGGCAAACCTCTGACCCGCCTGTGACTTTGCAGAGTATCATTTTGTGCAAAATGGCTTAAAGTGGCAGAGCGTGGGAAAAATCTGCATCTTGCATTCTTGCCGATATTACAGCCTAGCTACCTCAGCCCGACCCCAGAATGGCTGAGCGCCGGATGGTCACGTCCGCCATTGTAGCTGAAGAAGAAACAATGACCCATGTGATCAAGATAGATGGGTACTCAAGAACCAAGGAGCTGCTTAAGGCTGGCAAGTGTACAACATCTATCCCTTTCATTGCCGGAGATAATATCTGGGTTGTGAAGTATTTCCCAAACGGTAACAGCAAGGCAGATGATTACATACCTGGGTACGTATCTGTTTTTTTGGCTCTTCAGTCAGCTGATGCCAAGAATGTGCAGGCGAACTTCACCTTTAGTTTACTTGACAAGGGTGGAGAACCAGTGTGCATCAAATGTGAGGCAGAAAATCGTATCTTCCGGCGCAAAGGTTCAAATTGGGGTTTCACTACGTTTATTGAGCAGGGAGATTTGGTAGAATCGGTGCATCTAACAGGTGATAGTTTCAGGCTCAGGTGCGACATCACCGTCCTGAAAAAGATCCGCAGTGAAGAGACCAGCCCCAATCAGTTTGTCGTGATTCCTCCAAGCAACTTGCATCGCCAGCTCGGCGACCTCCTGAAAAACAAGGATGGGGCAGATGTGGCCTTTCGAGTCGGCGGCGAGATATTCTCGGCTCATAGGTCCGTGCTCGCTGCTCGTTCACCGGTCTTCAAGGCGGAGCTCTTTGGCGCCATGAGGGAGAGAGCCAGTGATCCGATTGAAATTCTTGATATAGAAGCTGATGTGTTCAAGTCCCTGCTCCATTTCATCTACACGGACTCACTCCCTGAGAGCACTAATGAAGGTACAACACAAGTTGATGTTGTGACAGCCAGCCATCTACTTGTAGCGGCGGACAGGTACGACATCGAGAGGCTGAAGCTGATATGCCAAGACAAGTTATGCAATCACATTGGCACCAAAATGGTTGCCACTAGTTTGGCTTTGGCTGAGCAGCATAACTGCCAGGGACTCAAGGAGGCTTGCTTTGAGTTCCTTGCTTCTCCTTCCAATCTGGAGGCAATGATCGCAAGTGATGGTTACCAACATCTCAAAAGCAGTTGCCCGTCTGCTCTGAAAGAGCTCATTGCTAGATTCTTGCCTGTTGAGCTGATACCAGCCATGGATACTATCAGGTTAATTTGATTAGTACTTGTGTGTGTGGGTACTGATGATCATATCATCTATCAAGTAAACTTGGTATCTATTTTGTGTGTGTGTGTGTGTGTGTACTTGCATGTCTGGGACAGCAGCCAAGGCTATTATCAGGGCAATTTGATTAGTACTCTACTTGCATGTCTGGGTACTACTGGTCATATCTCAAGTAAACTTAGTGTATATTTTGCTAGTTTGCCATGTCTAACAAAAATGCTATCAATATATCCTATTTATGCAGGTAGAACTGGCACTTTTGGATTCTGCATTAATTCTGTGTTTTCTGTATGCACTTCGATTGATCTGTGTGGAGATGAGTTTTTTTTTTGCCTGTTGTATCTCTATTTTGATTGCAATTGTTTTAATAATTCTCTCCTAGTTAAAACCTGCATGGTTGTACAAACTAGCTGAAGTTTAGGCATGATGTATCCCTATTTATCATGTTTCCGAAGTGAAAATATCACCTCTCTATTATCCGAGTTTGGCATAGGAGTTTTGCTTGATTGAAGTGATCTAAACCTTTCTTAGCTTATGTTGGTCGTGCTTTGTTTAGTGATCCCAAGCGCAGAGTTTTTAGCCATGAACTGAGATAAACCATGTCTTTATGTAGGGTCGTAAATCCTGTTAGCTAAGTGCCTATTTGATTCAAAAGATTTTTAGAGGATTCTTATCCTAAGAAGATTTTTTCTATATGGATTGTTTGATTCGTGTAAATGCAAATCATTTTTATTCATATGATTCGTTTGTATTAGGTTTCATAGCAAAAAAGATTCATCCACTCCAACCTCTTTGAACGAATGTTGCGCTTTTCTTCTGCATAATCATACAACCATTCAATCATGAACTAATGAAGATGGCACAAGATCCCAGTCCAGTGTTCTTACCACTCTATTACTGTATCAAACTGTGATTTGGGAATCTTAACATCTGTAATTCAAGATAGTACTATGGTTAGGCAGATATTGTTAACTTGACTTGAGACCATCCCGCACACAGGTGTGACTCTTATGGTCTTCGATGAAATCTCTCGTACCAAAAACGTAAAGGAGTGTAATATCTGGGACGAAATCACTGTTTTGACCTTGTCAGGAAACTATAGCACAAAATGAACTCTCCATGAAAGTATTTCACAATCTAACCCTTTTAGCAACGCCACAGACCGTGGCGTTTCTGCTCCATATAAAAACGCCGAGCTAGCTAGCGTTGCTGCTCCTCGTAGAAACGCCGAACTAGCTGGCGTTGCTGCCCATATGAAAACGCCAGGGGCGTTGGCATTGCTGCCCATATGGAAACGCCAGGGGCCATGGCGTTTCTTCCCTAAAAATGATTTTAATAGATATCTTGCTAGTGCTCAGTGGACTTGATTGATGAGTACATTAAAAGAAGAAATAAACAAAACCTTTTCTCATGCCTTTTCACTATGTTGTTAGTTGCTAGCTGCTCCTCTGCATGTGCTGCAGGTTTACATGTGCAGGCTGTCCGTCTTTTTCACATGGGAATCCAGTGCATACGAACATGATGTACAGGCATCTGCATGGTCATGGCCTAGGAGCAATGCAACATAGGTTGGGTAGCAGTTGTTTGTCCGACGGGTCAACAAGCATTTCGAGCTGCATGCATGCATGGGCTAGATGGGGTGATGGGTTTTAGGCCTTTGCGTCAGATCGGCATAGCAGCGGCTAAAATCATTGTCAGAACAATTAAATATCCGGGGAAGCAACGCCAACGCCCCTGGCGTTCCCATATGGGCAGCAACGCCAACGCCCTGGTGTTTTTATATGGGCAGCAACGCTAGCCAGCTCGACGTTTCCACGAGGAGCAGCAACGCTAGCTAGCACGGCGTTTTTGTATGGAGCAGAAATACTACGGTCTGTGGCGTTGCCAAAAGGGTCAGAATGTGAAATACTTTTACGGAGAGTTCATTTTGTGCTATAGTTTTCTGACAAGGTCAAAACAATGATTTTGTCCTAATATCTGGATGTTCGATCACCAGGGAGCAGGGGCGGAGCTCTGTAGGGGCCGAACTGGGCCATGGCCCGCCCAAAAATTTGACGTTTTTTTACCTACTATGCATCTTCCGCCCAGCCCGAGCCCACCTGGCGCATCCTCTTCTGAATCTCATGCAGATAGCACACGGCATCACGGACTGCACAACATCCCTATCCTCTCCCCGTCTCGACGCATGTAGCGGCAGCAAGGCAACACCAAATTGCTCATTTGATAAGCAATAGCCAGAAATATGTGCATATGTGCTTGCTCCATCTTATAACCGTGTATCATATACTAATGCTCATCATTCAAAATTTTAGAAAAACGTGTGTTCTTCTTTATCTGGCCCGCCAAACTTTTTCTTTCAAGCTCCGCCACTGCCAGGGAGGGAGGCTCCAACGACCGATTCGTTTGCTGGCAGTTTTTTTTTTTTCAAAAAACTGTTTTTTTAGGCTGGTCGATCGACGAGCTCGTGATCGAGCCAACCAGCCCACATAGGCCCCTTTAGCTTCCCCCTTCAGCTTCCAGGCCTCCAGGACAAATTACAATTTTCTTTTGTACAAAAAAATGTAAGAAAAGATTTTATCCCTAAAAAAATGTAAGAAAAGATTAAAAAAACCACTTCATTATGAACGAAAAATGGAGAGAACAAAATTTAAAAAATGCCATGATCTGGATTTTTCTTTTGAAAATTGCCATGCTGTAAAAATTAGAGAACATTTGTATCCATAGACCAAAAAATAAAAAAATGTTATTGTTAAAAATGCCATCTCTTAATGATAAAACAACACATGAGGACCTGTACCTAGACTGCACCATTGTCCTTGCTCAGCTGCACTGCCGCCCCGGTCCAAGTCGCCGCCGCCGCCACCTCCACCTCTTATGTCTGTGGGCAAGGGGTGAGATAGGTAGGAAAAAATATTTCGTGAGATGAAGGTGACCGAAGCGGGAAAGAGAGGTCGTCACATGATGATGGCTGACCCCATCAGTGAGAATTTGACGGCTCTCATCAATTAGGTTTTGGGCGAATATTCTCATGTCTCTGGTTATCCCCATCCTTCGTGGATTCCTAAACAAACAAGTGGCATCCTCGGGGAAACTAGCTATCCCTATCCCTCGACTGGCTAGCCACACAACCAAACGCTATCCTACGTGAGGAGAAATGCTATCGACATGCGAGCTTTCAACCAAGCACTTCTTGCAAAACAGGCATGGAGGCTAATTGAGTCTCCTGACAGTTTGTGTGCTCGATTATTAAAAACAAGATATTTCCCCGATGACAATATTATTGATACAGTGGTTACCGGGAGATCTCTTCGGCCGTCTGGAAGGGTATAGCTCATGGATTGGAGTTGCTAAAGAAAGGTATAATTTGGAGAAATTGGCGATGGTGCTTCGGTAAGAACTCCCTCGAATTGTGTACTGCAGTATGGTTGAATTAGAGTCCTCCGTGTTGTGAGGAGCAGCTGGCTCGAGATTGTAACCCTGTAACTATGGAATAAAGGGAGGAGACGAGCAGTGGAAGAGTTCTCACTACTAGGGAAAACCTTATACACAGAATTTTAGCAGTAGCACGGGTCAAAAAAGCACACTGGTCCTAAGTAGCAGTAGCGCGCCCGTGCAAACCGCGCTACAGATAATGTCCTAGCAGTAGCGCGCTTGATTCTAAACTCGATACTACTAAAATTCCCACGGCTTAGCCCATAGGCTACACATAGTAGTAGCGATCTATACAGAACCGCGCTACGGTACTTGCTTTGTAGCAGCGCGTTTACGCTGAAATGCGCTACTTCTAAAAGAAGTAAAATTAAATGAAAAGCAATAGAAAAGTAAATGCAAATGAAAGAAATAGAAGATGGTGAAAGGAAAAAATAAATTGTAAAGAAAAAAAATATAAAAAGGGGGGAAAGAGAAAGGAGTAGCAGTAGCGCGTATCGCTGAACGCGCTATAGCTAACTTATCAGTAGCGCACTTTGTGGAACGCGCTACTGCTACTTCTGACTTAACCAGGGTTCGTCCTTCCCCACGGCCACTTCCCCCAAATTCAACTCCTCCGCTCTCACCGCCGCCGCCGCCCGTCATCCGCCGCGCGCTCTTCGCACACCCTCGACGCCGCCCCCGACCCGGATTCGACACCGCCCCCGCCCCCGACCTCGACGCCGCCCTCCGCCACGCGCCCGAGCCCCGACCCCGACCTCGACGCCGCCTGCCCCTCCCTCGCCGCAGGCACCCGAGGTGAGCACGCCTGCTCCTCCCTCTCCCCTACCTCTGCCTAGGGTTCTTCAAATTTTAGTTGCATCAAATTAGTTAAGGTTCATGTAAGGGTGGAAACGAATCGGATGCGGATGCGGCTCAAATTAGCTAGGGTTCATGTAGGGTGGAAACGAATCAAATTTCTAAGATGAATCATAAAACGAGTAAATTTTGACCACTTATTTCACTTTTAAGTTGGATAATTGGAATATCCTCTACCACTTTCCACACCCTAGGTTCATCAAATTAGATGGTAATTAGGGCAGTAGTTCCTAGGTACTAATTAGGTACTAGTTTATTTTTATTTTTATTAAGTTTATTTTTAGTAAGAACTAGTTGAATTAATAGAACTAGTTGAAGATGTCACATTTGTTGTTATTTTTTTAGTTAAAGTAATTTTTCCCGCATCGACGTCGACGATGCCTATCCCGCATCCTCGTCATCGACTCGATGGAGGACGCCTGGTTGACCAGATGTGCCATGTCCGGGACTAGGCTCCGCCGGGCTGGTACTGGGAGGCGCTACCTACCGGGGGGCACATCTTGGTGATGAGTCAGCCCATCGTTGACCCGAACCTTCTTTGGTGGCGGTCGCGTGGGTCAGTGATGGTCGAGAGGCTTGAGGACCCCGCGGAGGTGGTACATCATCGTGTCAGCGAGGAGGACGTGCACGTCCGTTGCTACTTGTTTGCGCTGGAGCACAGGTTCTCCAATACCTGGCAGGTTCTCCAGGGATCTCACTGGAGCTATGATTCTATGATGGTTTCTTCTCTTTGGGTGTCCACCGCCCACGCCGATACCCGTCGTTCGCTAGGGTTTTAGTTGTATTAGTGATGTTATATTATGATACTATTCAGGATGTATTAGTGATAATATTCGACGATGTACGGGCGCAAGAGATGATTTACTTTTTCTTATTGAATGCATGCTAATTTGAATACTTATTTATTTTATGATTTGGTTTTACTTATTGAATGCTCATGTCAATATGAGTCCTATAAGATATTTTGAAATGTATATCTTGTGTTGCTTAAATAGGATATGTGCTTGCCCAAGTGGCCGATCATGTTTGCAGGTTACACCTTCGAGTGGCCTATGTTTTACCAGAGTGTAGATTCATTTCCGTTCCGGAAAATTTTAGGCGCTCGATATGTTCTATTTTAGCAAAGGTCATGCCGGATTTTTTCATGAATTTTTGCATGACTTGTGCCAGAATATGTAGGAAACATCGAGTGCCCCAGATTTGTATGTTGAGTATCCTGGTAGTTGTCTTCGATCGATTTTTAATTAATATTTCAACTGTGGACATAGGAAACGACTGACGACGAAAAGGTTTTCGGTATTTGCAAATACCGCGAAGACGAGTGCGGCCTGTGAGACAGAATCTTCCTAGATGATGATAGGCGCTTTAGTATCAAGCTGGACGAGAACTTCGAAGTGGATACAGTAAGTCATAACGACAAGTATTTTTTCGTAATTAACCATGACATCTGCTTCATTTGCTTCAACTTATAATTTTTTTTTACTATTCTACTAGCGTATCCCCTGCCATGCAAGAGTTTTTGTCTTGGATAAGATAGGTTTCAGTCCTATGAAAACTACTATGGAGGTAAAGAGAGTTTACTTGATGACCGAGCATGGTTGTATTTTCCACGCAATATTATACAACGCATACACCTACACCTATTTTGGATGCAAAACTTGGCAAGCACTATGCAGGACTTATGCATTTGAGCCTGATATGGTTATCACCTTTGGTATTCGTCCGAAAGATGATATTGAAGGTAATATCGACACCTGGGTCAATGTGCAGACTCCTCCAGTTATACCATTATGTGAGTTTCTCAACCATATTTATGTCTTTGATATTGTTTATTCAAAAATAGTTGACAACTAATTTCTATTGACAGCTTATTTCCAATCAAGCAAACATGTCCAGCGTTTGGTATACATGACTTACTACTGTCCTGGGGTTGAACTAAACTGCGAGGAGATAAGTCATTACGTTTCATGGCTTGAGGATCTTCATACTGTCAAGACAAATTATTATTTTTGTACTTGAAAATCTTAGTACTCAACACGTGCGACCAATAGTGTTCGTACTTAACTACGGTCACATCTATTAGGAAAGATGGTAAGATTTTTATTATTTGTCCTTAGTGCATCATTTGCATACATTATTTTTTAAGCTAAACTTCACTGCTAAGTATGTTACTATACGATGTTCTTCAACAGGGACTCCCGATGAATGTTGTGCCTCATTAGATGGAGACTAAAGGTCGCACGAGAATTGTTAGCTTACGGCCAAGATATCCTACAATGCACTTTAGTGCATACAAGATTTCTAATAGCGAGGAATGCTTAATAGTGAAAGACTGGAGCAAAATTGTGAACGATCGTAGAGAAGTACTAGGGGCAGCAATCAGAAGCGCAACCCACGATTAGAAGACAGGTTCATCTGCTTGCTCCAACTTGATGAAGCAGGAGTGCTACACATGTTTTATGTTATTTTACCTGAGAGAGCAGCATGAGTGATTAATTAGCTAGCTAGAAATGAGTTTGAAGATGATGATGTGCTATACTATGACTATGATGATATAGCTAGTGTTGATGGTAATGAGTATGATGATTATTATTAGCTAGTGTTGGTGGTGATTCGTTTTAATTGAAGAGTAACATATCATATAGACAATCAGAAGTATGGCCTACCCGTTTCTATGATCTTCGTTATAGCAAATTGTTTATATATGTGGAAATTCCCAGGCTGTTAATCCATAGCCTAAATGACCTCTCTTCCCTTGAAACTTGAGCATCATCAGATACTCCATGCATCCACAAAGGAAACTTGTTTCATTTGTTTCGACAACCCATTCCTGCAATAAAAAGACTACAATTATAGAGTTTAGGCTGTCAAAACAGTGCACTGCCAAGTACAAGCATCAGATTCCCATTTTGGCTTATGTATGCCTTGAACCTTGGTTTTTGGCTTCTGTACACCATCAAACAAGATCCGAGAGAAAAGGAGTACGTGCCTTCCAGTCGCAAAGAAAGAGAATGTCGATAGCGTCTCGATGGTGTTGACGCCTCAAATTATCTGTATGTGAGAAGAAGAAAAGGGGCCTCCGTTGTTGTGTCTTGTGTGTACTTGAGTCAAACAAGAAACGCGAAAAAGGCCTCCAGTTGCTTTTGGACAAGTTGAGAGGTAGCTAGCAAACTGATCATGCCTATCTGCTTATACTTGGTCCAGGCCCTACTCAGCCTAATACTTTGGCCCGATCCACCGACCAATCGGAGCAGTCGCGAACTCCTAATGCCGCACCCAGCATCGTGCCCTTGCCGCCTGATGACTTGAACGATTTGCATTTTGCTGGCTCTTCAGCGTGAACATTGTCTCAACTTGGATAGGTACAAGGTTTTCTAGCTTGGAAAATATCAGTGATCTGGCTGAACTAATGTGACACCAAAGAATCATCTTTCTTATCCTTTATTACTGTATCGACTTCTAAAACTAGCTCTACCTTTCGTCTCTTCCCTGTGCGGAGTTTCTTATAACACGTACTGACGTAACCCTATCATAGTGCTGTTGTATGCGATGCTTTCCATTCACTGAGTCTGAAGAATTTTAACATTAAGGGAGTTACCATTGCTAGCAGCAAGGCAGAAAATCTTGCTAGTTGCGGGTGGATTTCCTTATTCCGGTACCATACAAACTTATGTCAAGTTTTCATACTGACATAAATGTTCACATACCATAGGAACGGGCACTAATCACCACAGACATAGTGGGAGTTTGGAAAAAAACACAGATACAGATCCAGTCGTCATTTATTTTATACAGTTGAACCGCATGTAACGTCCCCACTTAGGAGGCATCTGAGTAGAGCTCTTCAATCACCACACGAACTGCAATCGGGATCCGAACCAGGTGGGCGCCTCCATCATGCCATGCCAAGCTACCGAAGGTGTAGCTGCCCTGGATCCTTCGGGTGGCCCTGAAAGTCACCTTGAAACTCTGCACCCTCCTTGCGTTGCTGAACACCAGCACTGCTGGCTCCACAGCCATCTTGACGCCAGGTGGAGGCTCCATGAATGCCTTGTACACCGCATTCGGCTGGCCAACATTGGTAACAGTGCGCACAACCGTCACAGATGTCTTGAGGCCAGGAATGGCAATCGATGGGAGGTTCAAGTCAGGTGGTGTGCAATTGTTATTTGAACCAAATCCTTGTGGACAGTTGAAAAACTCGAGGTAATCTGACGCACTAATGTCATATATCAGGCCTGGATCAGCTGCCTTGGTTGGATTAACAGACCCTGCTCCGTAATCAAACGGGTCGGCGATCTTTGCACGTTTTCCATTTGCTTCTATTGGAACCCCATTACGGTCCATGGTATGTGCTGCAAGAGAGACACTTTATTTGTGCTTTGCATAAATAAATACTCGATATCTCAACTATATATGTAGAGAATCAGATAATTACCGGTTGTCATTAGTGCTGATTTTAGGGCGGCAGGGGACCAGTCAGGATGAACGGATTTGAGTAGAGCGACTATCCCAGATATATGAGGGCAGGCCATGGACGTTCCAGAATCAAAGACATAGGAAACACCTAGACTTTTGTAAGCACCACTTTGTGCTGCAGCGGCCAAAATGTACACCCCAGGTGCAGCGATATCAGGCTGTTCATTTGGGAGCACAACTAATTAAGGCAAGTAGAGTTAATTCTATATATGTTTCTTAGTTGATTGTAACTTTTAAGGAAAGAGAAGACTCCAATGACACTATGGAGTGACTGAATCGAACAATTTATTTACCTTCTTAACAAGAGATTGCTAGCTAGAGGTGCGCTGCTTACCTTGAGAACCCCAGGATAGATAGGACTAGGTCCCCTTGATGAGAAAGCTGCTATTTACCAAAGCTGCTATTGTTCGGGTTGTAGATATCTTTATTTTTGGGATGCCAATGCGACTGCCATAATTATAAGGAGAAACGAGAAAGCTTTGGTAAACATTGAAATGGAGTGATAACGTGCGTACGTCCAGAAAGTAGAAAATCGATTTATGTACGTCTAAGAATTTTCTCTACGTACTTGATAGCTAGTCTTGAAATCGAGAGGAACGCAAGGAAGGGCCGGTCCTTTAATTGCATATAGATCAAGAGAGTCCAGATTATTCTGTGAGAATATAAATCCCTTCCCTCCATTTCTCTGCACCGTCGCTGCAATATCTGCATACTTGGGTGGTGCAGAGACACTACCCGGTCCTGGTGTGTAGCAGAATACCACCTTCCCGTGTATGTCAGTGCTGTTTATGTAGTCCGGGTCACACCTGCAAAACAGTTACCCCTTGCTTATCCACTGTGGGTGAAATTCATATTTATTTAAATGGTGTTCGGAGTATATTTATAAGGAAATCTTACCTATCCTTAAAGTAATACAGAAGTTCAGAGAACTCATCTCCACCTTTATCTGCCACATACATGGATTGTGCCTGTAACCAATTAAGCATCCCATTGTGAGAAGGAAGGGAGGTAAAACATGACGCATGGTCAAATCTGAAGATGCATACCACAAACTGTCGGTTATCCCCGAGGGTGATAACCGTGAGGAATGATCGATCAACCGTGGTTGCAGCAACCGTGAGTAGCCATGGTGAAGAATTCTCCACCGTTTCTTCTGTAGGTCCATCATTTCCGCCTGCCATGATAACCGGGATGCCTCTTGCCACCGCACCCAGCGTTCCTAGTGCTGCCATTTCGTTCGTGCTTCCGAGAGAGAGCGATAGGACGTCAACACCGTCATGGATAGCATGATCGATGCCTTTCAGAACGCTCGCGATAGAGCAAGAACCCCAGCAAGCCTTGTACACTGCTATCCGGGCGCGAGGTGCGCCACCACGAGCCGTTCCAGCAGCCAGTCCGAAGAAGCTGGTGTTGTGGACGACGTTGCCACCGGCTGTGGAGGCTGTGTGGGTGCCGTGGCCATGAGAATCCCTGGCAGACAGGAAGTCACTTTGGAGAGATCTCCTGTCGATGTCAGCGCCAGCATACCACCGCGCACCGATGAGCTTTCGATTGCAATCGTGGGCACTGAAGTTGGCACCGGCTTGGCAAGTTCCCTTCCATTTTGAAGGAGGAGGTCCATAGCCATCATCAGCGAAGCTCTGTGACTCAGGCCAAACACCTGAAATGAAAGACAAGTGGACTGGAGGTAAACACCCCACACAATTAATTGTGTTAACCTTGGGCTGAACGAGCCATCACATCCACCTGAGTCGATGACACCGATTATCATCCCATCTCCATGGTTTGCTGCTGCAAGGAGCTCATTTGGCTGCTGCTCCTGCTTGATGTCCACGCCCATGGACAGCCCAAGGAAATCCCAGCTCCGAGTAGTATGCATGCGTACCATTGTGTTCTCTTTCACACTCACCACTCCAGGCAGCGCTGTATCCGAGCCGGAAGCAGCAAATGATTATTAACTTATGAATCACAGTGATGGTCAACAAGCATTTGTCAATTGACTAATACTACACCTTATCTCAAAGCTAGAGGGAAAGATCAAAAGAGAGATAAATTATGCACGTATATATTATACATACTCTGGATCTTTCTCGCTTGTGATTCAGTAAGCATTGCAGAAAAGCCCGAGAAACCATATCTGTAGCTGTGGACAATCGATTCGAGAGCCGCCTCCTTGCTTCATAGCCAGTACATACTTGCGTAAACCAACTTGAGAAGAAATGGTATAATGAAATAATAATTCTACTCTTGGAGGAAAGGAACTTTTGAGAAAAACTAATTTAATTTGGAGGATATAGAAAGCCTTTGTAGAATAGGAATGTTTCCTTCACATTTTGGAGGAGTTTTATGTTATACTGTGAGGTTACTTCTTAATACAATTGTATTTAAAGTTCCAATGCATCTTGGTGATTTACTCTGTCCTTTCCATATCTAAATAAGTAACACATAATTATGCCAGTTAACGATGTCCATGTTTTTGTTTCTTATAAGATTCCATATGACGGGGTATCATAATTCTATGACTTTATTTATTCCTATGTTTCTACAATCCTGTATCCTGGAGGGCATTATAATACTACTCCCATTGCTCCGGTCCAAAATAAGTGTTGTGATTTTAGGGAGTAGTGTTCTGTAAATAGCTCGATTAAGTTTCTTTTTGTAACATTTTTTTTAATTTTTTGAACAGATGAGGATTGGACACTAAGGAGGAGTAATAGAGGAGAAAATGAAGGGACAAAAGAAAACAAAAATTCTTCATACAAAAAAATTATAGATAAGTCAAACACCACCTCAGCTACCATTTATCTAGCTTGTCATCCTCAGTTAACCTGGACACGTAAGATCCTCTGACGAATGCAGTTTAATTTCTAGCAGCTAGCTTAAGATACTCACCTTGCTATTTATATTTGGTGGTATTATTTCTTTCTCACAGTAAAGTCTGGAGACTGTGCACTAATTTCTAATTATATTAATCAATTTTGACCACTTAAAGAACAACAACAACAACAACAACAACAACAACAACAACAACAAAGCCTTTAGTCCCAAACAAGTTGGGGTAGGCTAGAGGTGAAACCCATAAGATCTCGCAACCAACTCATGGCTTTGGCACATGGATAGCAAGCTTCCACACACCCCTGTCCATAGCTAGCTCTTTGTCGATACACCAATCCTTCAGGTCTCTCTTAACGGACTCCTCCCATGTCAAATTCGGTCGACCCCGCCCTCTCTTGACATTCTCCGCACGCTTTAGCCGTCCGCTATGCACTGGAGCTTCCGGAGGCCTACGCTGAATATGCCCAAACCATCTCAAACGATGTTGGACAAGCTTCTCCTCAATTGGTGCTACCTCAACTTAAAGAATAAGGGTATTTTATTTTGAATTTTCTGCATTTGATTCTTGTTTGAGATTTTTGGTTCAAACAAGAAAGAGAGGTGCAGAAAGTGATGGGACTGCCATAGTGCCATTCCGAGGAGTCCATGAGTCTACAATATTGAGACTAACCTTAGCATAGTCCCTCCCTGCAACTTTATTTTTGGAGAAATCTCAAAATGAATGGAAGCTCCTACTACTAGTTTAATTAAGCACATAAAAATGGACGTAGTTTATGAGAAAAGTAGAATGCAAAATATGCAAAACTTGTTTAAACAAAACACAAGGTGAAAATCTCAACAAGACCAAGGCAACCACCTAATAAGTACCTAACTAAAGTAGATGTAGTCATGTAGAACATGGCTATGACAAAGAGACACGCTGATGAAGCCAATGGAACGCAACATGGAAGCATATAGAGAAGCAGTTGTGTTGTATAATAGTGGAGCCAGAATGTTGTATAATATCGCTGATTTAGTGCAACTTTGTATTAAATTAATGACACTTATTATGGATAGAAGGGAGTAGCTAGCTTGTACAATACTATGAAAGGTACCTTCCGAGAACGGAAGCGAGCAAGTCGTGGTGCAAAGAGGTGACGAGACTGACATCTTCATGTTGCCTCTGCCCAAGGTAGACGATGTATACCTGAAAACATGTTTACGTATTACTAACTAATAAAGTCTCACCTGATTAGCAATGAATGGGATGGACCTTACCAACTTGCCTTTGCTAGTAAGCTGTGGTTTAACATGTTTTTTGGCAACTAAATTACTTTATTAATTGCAGATACAAGCTAGTCACCAACATCAGTGTGCCGGACAGCACACTCGGAGAAGAGCTTTGACAAGACATAGATTAAGGCCTTGTTCGTTTAATCCTCCTCCCAAGGGGATTGGAGAGGATTTTGGCTTGTAGGGGATCTAATCTCCCTCAAACCCTGCCATTCCCCTTCAAAAACCACCTCAACCGAACAAGGCCTAAGAGGGATCATGACGAACACTTGCTAGCTAGCTAGGTTGAAGCTGGGTTGTTAATGGCATGGCAGCTAGCTTACCCGTCTTTGTTCGAGCCCTTGCGACAGCTGCAATCGCAGAGATGAGTGGAGAAGAAACACAAGGAGTAGCAGACATGGCGCTCTATGCTCTGAGAACCTTGCCATGGATCTGATTCTGTTATATTACTAACCACACCTGTCTTCCTCTTTTTATAGTAAGCTCTGAGCTGAGAACCTCTACTTGTTGAAAAAGTTGCAGTCGTTAGTGCCTGCAAGTGGTAGGACCGATCTCTTGCCACCGACATTGTATCAACTGATATGATGCCGGGATTAACCGGTAGTACAAATGAGCAAACTAAAAAGGAACAAGGTGAAGGTTACTTGCGCAGCTTGTCTGATATGCTGAAGCTAGTCTCCCTCTGACTTACTTAGCGCTTGTAGCCGTTGAATGAAAAAAGGCAGGTTAAGATTTAGTCGAGCATTATTGTAGCAAGACACTACATATAGTAGAGTCCCAAAATAAGTGCCTTTGTTTTAGTACAACTTTGTAGAAGCATCGAGCCTGAAGCGTATATCAACTCCAACGGCGGTTGAGATTTTCGTAAAGTGAAAAGACTGTAGCTACTACTGTATGTGTATCTTTTTTTTTTTGAAACGGAGGCAAAAGATTTGCCTCTTCTATTAAATAAGGAAGAGTAGAGTTTAGAGTTTTACAACGCACACACAAATAAGCGGCATGACAATTACTCATGCGTACAGGCAAATCCGCAGCGGAAGGTTACTGAAGTGGCAATTGTGTAACTCCATCGCCCTACTATGTCGATCAAGCTCCCCTTTTGTTTTTGTTTTTTTAAACAGAGGCAGAAATTTTGCCTCATATATTAAATAAGGAGGAGAAAGAGTTTGTTACAACACACCCATGTTACGACATGACAACTATTCTTGCAATAAAAAAGATTCTAATTTCTTTGCCCTGGCTTTGATCCAAAGGTTTGCCTCATCGACAATGATGTTGAGCAAAATTTACGGGGTTGCACTCTTTTGGCTGAACACTCTTGCGTTACGCTTATTCCAGATGACCCATGATACTAATATGGTAATCGATGCCTTTGCTTTTCGGTCGCGATGCAAGCGGCGCACGTGCTCGCCCACCACGCCTGAACAGAGTCGAACAAGTGCCATGCGGACGTGTCCATGTCGTGGATGCGAAATTTCTGAATAACTAGGTTCCAAAGCCTGAGAGTGAAGCGGCATCTGAAGAAAAGATAAGGACCAGGTTCCAAGACATGTCCAACAAAAGAGAAGCATCCACCATTGCAGCAAGGATACCCAGTAGAGCTTGGCATTTAGCGTGGGGAAGAATAATGGACATCTCAAGGAATAGATGACTTTACAGACCCGGTTTTTTCATATGGTGGTGCGACCACTAGTTTTTTTGCTCCTTGCACATGATAGCCGATTTATGTGTCCATTAGCTAGTGATGAGAGACATAAATAATTCACCAACGGAATGAGAGCAAGCGAAATATCGAGAAATTGTCTGGTGGAAACATCGTCTGGACCTAGCTAGCTATGGATTTATGGCTATGGCAAATTAGTTCAGCTGTCACATCGGTATCTCAAAGGAATATATGGCTTTACAGTACCCAATTTTCAAATGGAGCCACTGTTGAGTGATCACTAGTTCTTGTCGATAATGCTCCTTGCACATCAGAGATGCTCAATCATCTCTGCCGTGCATATTGCTTGTGCTCTCTATTTGTCTTTAACAAATCAACACATTTCACCCTTGTACATTTAGCATGTACTCCTACTTATATGTTTTCCAAATACATTTTTGTGCAGTACAAAAAAAGGGAAGGCCTGCATGCATGCATGGCTTATTTATTTTTTTCTGTTCTTTCATACCAATGCATGCATGGAACCTTGCTAACGTATCTGCAACTGCACACACAATATAACTCAAATGCACATTTTTGTTGGTAGCTCATGGTATGCATAGATTTTGCCAGTTAATTTGCTGTAGGACGGCCCCAGCATGGATAGTGGGCGTGATGTGAGCGCGTACGTGTAAGTCTCAAGGCCAGACAAGCTGTATGGCACGTTTTGTGGGAGGGCAACCTTCTGTTGTTGAAAAGGGCAGAGCAACCTCAAGGTCAAGGGGCATATTTTGGATTGGTGCCTTGGCTTTTTCAAGAGAATTTCATAGTGGACTAGCCAAAACATTTTGTTCGGTCAAAGTGCTATCAAGAAAACCTTATCTTGTTTGAAAGGGTGGAGCAACCTCAAGGCCCACTATCTCAATGATGATGGTGGAACTCGGAATCGTAGGGAAAAAAACTGAAGCACACTATGGCTGTAGAACAAGCCGATAGAAGCTTACCTATCATGGCCTCGTGGGCCTGTCCTGTACTAGCATTGAGCCCGGGGAAGAATGGACATCAACGAATATAGGACTTTATAGACACCAATTTTCAGACAAAGCCACTGTAGGGTGATCAGTGGTTCTTGTCCGTAATGCTCTTCGCGCATCATAGCTGCTTTATGTATCGATCAATCGTTCGAGCCATAGATGCTGCATATGCTCAATAATTGTGAAAAGTTTGGTTGAACCAATATCTTCTTGTTGATGCACTTGTTGGTTGTGGCACTTTCTTTTGGCATGATGTCTCGTCTCTGGTGTGGCAATGTTTCTCTCAGGGCCAAATATGCAAAAAAAAAAACAGTACTGTGAGCAGAGCAGATAGATGCTGCAGTTAGTGAGGTCATCTTCGATACGGGTATTGATATTTCTTTGAATAGTCCCGTGACCAATTTGGAATTAAATGACCCACTGGGAAGAGCTAAATCCAGCTAACGGATAGTGAGGATATAGTGCAAGATGGGCTCTTTCCAAGACTAGTCGTTCATTTTTATTTTTATTTTTAGAAATGTAGGCGTACCCCCGGCCTTTGCATCATAATAATGCATGCAGCCATCTTATTAAAAATTTGCAAAATATCACAAAGTCGTCAAAGTATTACAACTCACAAGAGGAGCGAAAATAAAAAAACAAAGTTCATGCCGACAATCACAACCGGAATGACAATAAGCAGGATAAGCTCTCTAGACTCCTATCCTGTTATGCGACCGTCATCCGAACCGGTTGAATAAAGCCCGTGCTACCATCTCCCACTGGTTGCACCAAGTAATCAAAGGCTCCCTGAATTCCATAGGAGTGAGTAAGGACCACGTACGGATCCAAGCAGTAGCTCTGAAGATGACCTGCGAGAAAGTTAAATTGTTTTGCCTGTTAAAAATCAAATCATTCCTGCAATTCCATATAGCCCACAAAAGCGCACATATTCCAATCCGAATACGAGCCGTCGTAGTATGTTCAACCCTAGTTAACCACGTTCCAAACAACGACGTAATATCAACTGGAGGAGTAATGTTAAAGGCTATATGAATCGTTCTCCAAAGTAATTTGGCGAGTGGGCATTCAAGAAATAAATGTTGTATTGTTTCATCATGATCACAAAAGCAACATCGTGGACTACCTACCCATCTACTCTTGATTAAGTTGTCCTTTGTAAGAATTATTTGTTTGTGGACAAACCACATAAAGATTTTAATGCGCAAAGGAACCTTAATCTTTCAAATATGCAGTGATCTCGAGAGTGGGCCAGAATTAATCAGATCCATATAAAAAGATTTTACCGTAAAAACCCCATTCTTAGCTAGTTTCCATTGCGTTGAATCCGGTTGGCCGGAGAATTGAACATCTATCAATCTCCGAACCAAGTGCATCCATGCAGTCCAACGCTCACCGACTAACGCCCGTCTGAACTGGATATTCAAAGGACTCGTATGTAGAACTGTGCCTACGTAAACCTCCTTACGTTGCACTATGTTATACATGGTGGGATACTGGACGGCCAGGGGCGTTTCTCCTAACCATGTATCCTCCCAAAACTTTGTTGACATCCCATTGCCAACTAGGAATTTGACCCTATGAAAGAACAACTCCTTCACCGCCCTTTCTAGAATGGCGAGTCGGTTGGTGTCATCGTAACCTGGGCGAGTGTTTTGGACTGTAGATACTTATTACGCAAAATCTGTGCCCATATGCCTTCCGGCTCAGTCTCTAACCGGTAGAGCCATTTGCTCATAAGGCATTTGTTCTTGATTTCTAAGTTCTCAATACCGAGCCCACCCTGGTCTTTTGGGCGACAAAGAATGTCCCATCGGGCGAGACGGTATTTCCTCTTGGCCTCATCTGACTACCAGAAGAATCGAGATATGAAGAAATCCACTCGTTTCTGTACCCCTTTTGGAATTTCAAAGAATGATAAAATGAACATCGGCATGCTGGTCAGTACTGAGTTAATCAGCACTAGCCGGCCTCCATAAGACATAAGCTTACCCTTCCAGCAGCTAAGCTTTTTTTCTATGCGATCTTCGATACATTTCCATTCTCTATTAGATAACTTACGGTGATGGATTGGTATGCCCAAATAATTAAATGGTAAAGAACCCAATTCACATCCAAACAATTTTCTATATGTATCTTGTGCGTTTTTGGCCCTCCCAAAGGAGAATAACTCACTTTTGTGAAAGTTTATCTTTAAACCAGACAATTGTTCGAAAAGGCATAATATAAGTTTCATATTACGCGCATTAGCAATGTCATGCTCCATAAATAAGATAGTGTCGTCAGCATACTGCATAATGGATACTCCTCCATCCACCAGATGTGGGACTAACCCCTCTACTTGCCCATGTTGTTTGGCCTTGCCAATGAGAATGGCTAGGCCACTATATTAAATAAGAGAGGAGACATGGAATCGCCTTGTCTCAAACCCTTGTGTGTCTGAAAATAATGACCAATATCATCGTTAACCTTAATTCCGACACTACCCTTCTGGACTTGAGAACCAACTTGGTTCCGCCAGACCTCGCTAAAACCTTTCATGTGCATTGCCTGCTGTAGGAATGGCCACTTTACTTTATCATACGCCTTCTCGAAATCCACTTTGAAGTTAACCCCATCAAGCTTCTTCGAATGGACTTCATGTAACGTTTCATGCAACATGACCACCCCTTCAAGGATATGTCGCCCTGGCATGAACGCTGTTTTGCTCGGTTGTACCACTGAATGCGTGATCTGTGTCAATCTATTGGTC